ACGCGTCGGAGCACCACCTAAAATCCATCAGAAACACTACCACTAAAACGGCCTTGTAGCTCAGGCCATGAACCTAACGGCCAAGATCAGTTCCTTTCTCGGCCACAATCATTTGATTAGAAGTCAAACTCAAATTGGCGCACCACTTAACCATTTACCCAAACACATCACTCTCAAACGCACGGTAGACCGTGCTGGCACGCCCGCGCACAGCCGCACCGCATCCAAAAGAAGGACGTCACGTGTCAACGCATATCCCCTCGGCCCGGAACACCAGGCCGTGAGATTTGCGAGCCCAACAATATTTTCCTGTCATTTACCTTTTGTCATTTATCTTCTTGTAATGCACTTTCAATACCTTTATTTGCTTTCTTAGGAGTAATGACAACTTGTAGGAAAATCCGTTCATCAATATATCATACGACCCTTGGTTTTCAAGGCGCCGGAGCACCATCCTGGTTATTTTTCCATTCATCCCATATATCATACGACTGTTGCAACCCAGCGACGCGCCGGAGCACCACCCAAAAATCCACCACTAACGGCCTTGTAGTTCAGGCCGTGAACTTGACGACCGAGATCAGTTCCTCTCTCGGTCACAATCGCTTTGATTGAGAGTCAAATTCAAACAGGCGCGCAACTCATCCATCCATTCATTCGCATCATCCTCGAATGCACGGTAGACCGTGCTGGCATGCCCGCATACAAACGCACCGCACCAAAGAAGAACGACCCGTGTTGACGCAGATCCCCTCGACCCATAGCACCAGGCCGCGAGATTGGCGGACGCCAACAACTCCTACATTAATGGTTATGGGTTAGCATGATGAATAGTAATAATAATAAATAAACAAGATAAAGAAAACATAATGCTTATCTCTTGGGTGCTCATCAACACATATCCCACGTAGAGAGCTTTTCCTGCTGATAATGTGTTGTGAAATAAACGGGATACGTTAGAATACTGAGCCGCACGTAAAGTAAATGAGACACAACATTTAACGAGGTTCGGCCTTGCCTACGTCCTCGGAGAGCAGCAGCAGTAACTTTTCCACTATGTAAAATAATAGAACTACAACTTTAGTGTTTACAATATATGTGGCTCATTGATTTTTCTCTCTGCTCTCATTTTCCTCTTCTCTCACTCTCCCTTTCTTTCCTTCTCTTCTTTCTTCTTCTCTCTGCCTGGGCTCTCTCTTCCTTCTCTGATGGTTGGTGTGTCCAGCACTTGCAAAAGAGGGAAGCCTTTTATAGGCAAATGTCTAGCCATTCCCGAGAGTGTGCAGGAAAGCATTATGCACTAAAGTCTTCAAACCAACAGTAAGTGGACTCCACATGTTTATTCTTTACAACATTATAGTCATATCCACCTCTGACCTCAGTCAAAGAGGTTTCTCTCCTCTCTAGGAGTAATGGAAAGTACGAACCTGCGGCTAATACGAAAGGTTTCCACTCAACTCTTTAGTCCAAACCATCTGGTATAATAATACCTGTTCATTTTAAATTCATTTAAATAGCTTAGATGGAAAATAAATACATAAATTAATCAAACTTTTATTTATTGCTCTGCAGTCTACAATTGTGCATCAAATACATTCCAATGGATTTGGAAGGAGGGCAAGCAAACTTGATCCACTGATCACCACCACCTACAGGCTACATACATGCATGACTTGAGTCCACGTGGTCAAATTTACTTGGCCTCGCCACGTGATCTTTGGCTAAGTTCAGCTAGGTGTTTTCTTCTTTGTGTGAATAAAATATTTAAATCATTTCCTTATATATAATCTTACTGAAATCAATGCATTCATATTTATATCTATAGAATCAATCATACACATGATTAAACATTAAGTCTTTGAAAGCATTGAAATCACTTTAAATCTACCACCTAGGTGTACCCATTTTGCAATTCGTCAATTCCTTATAATCCGTCAATTCCATTAATTTCCGTCAATTCCTTTATAATCCGTCAATTCCATTCTCGTGCCACCGGAGTGACACGTCGTAGCAGACCTCGGGAAACACAAAGTCAACCCGAGCCGCAACCCTAGCAGAATTCAAGGGACACTTGGTCGGCCTGATCTGCATACCTCGCTCCCACGGTCCCTGGTACCTCTTAGGACTCGCAGAGCATAAGTCAAGCATGCTAACATATCTGAAGGCAACTGGATGTCCGTAGACATCATTATAACCGAAGGCAACTGGATGTCCGTAGACATCGTTATAACCGAAGGCAACATTTATTATACTGAAGGCAACCTTGGGTACCTATGGTGGTTTAGAATAAATATATATATACATATATATTATTTTTGAAAAAGATTAAAGTTTATAAAACCATTCCTTAAATCCTACTACCATTAAATCCAATAATACCTCAGTTCTGACTTTCCAAATCCCTTTTTAAATGTTCCACTAGGCAGCACATAAATAAACAGAAATATTTAAATCTATCAAGTCATGCTAGTAAAGCCGTATTCAGTAAAACTTATTCAAGATCAAATAATGAAATTAAATTGTATAAAATCATTTGTAAAACAAACAGTCCACTCACAGGTGATCTGAGCTAACTGGACCCTTTGAAGGTCCCTCCTGTGGGTCAACTGGTGCCCGGGTGCCTGAATAACCATCATAATCCTTATTAATAACTCTGCTCAATAATATAATATTAAAATAAAAACCCTGACCCCCGGCTTCTAAAAGTGCGTGCATCCCTTTTAAAGGTCATTCCTATGCCCACATTAACTTTCCTCTCATTGGGCATGATTTAATAGTAACTCGGGACTCAAAAGCGATAAAGTCCCAATAAGTCAACTTAGGACCCCGTGGGGTCCACAACCTCAGAATTTTGATCCGATCGTTCCTAGAGGTTCCACTATGCCTAGGACACATGTCCCAAGAGTTTGGTCTCGATCGGATGGTCGGATTGCTCACGATCGCACGGGTGAACGATTTCCCGTAATACTAACCCGTGCGATCGTGAGCAATCCGACCGTCCGATTGAGACCAAACTCTTGGGACATGTGTCCTAGGCATAGTGGAACCTCTAGGGACGATCGGATCAGAATTCTGAGGTTGTGGACCCCACGGGGTCCCAAGTTGACTTATTGGGACTTTATCGCTTTTAAGTCCCGAGTTACTATTAAATCATGCCCAATGAGAGGAATCCTACAAGATCCTGAAATTACCTAGATCAACATACTCTAGTTTGACTACGATCCAACGGTCCAAACGTATTGAACTCGAAAATCGCACACTATGTGAGATCCGTTCGGGGTTCAAACGTTATCCGAATTGAGATCCGTAAACTCCTACGCACTCTTGAGGACACGAGGATCGTTCTGGGACTAAGAGTAGCCCCTGTTACCTGACCCACGCGCCGCCCACGCGTGGGTGTGACTAACAATTTCTGATGGCCGGATTTTCTCCAAATCATCGGCCCAAACTCCTATCCTAGGTAATACACCCTATTTGGAACCATTTTTGTTCTTGGACTATGGTCAACAAGTGGCCGGAAGTGGCTGATATTGGCATCCTAAACTCGGCAGAAACTCAACTCGTAAATCAACGCTTCAAACCTCAAAATCTCTCAAAACCTACCCAACCATCAGCTAGAACATGAAAATCAGTTGAAAAAACATACCTAATTTGTCCGATTTGGTGGCCGAAGGAGAGAGAACGAGAGGTTTGAAAATCTGTCAAAACTGACGCGGTTTTCTGCGGCTGGTTCCGGTGGAATCCGGCACTTCTTGCGGCGTCGGGTTGGGTCGCTGGGGTGGCGGCGAAGGCTTGGCAGGTCAGGTTGGCCAGAGGTGGTGCGTGGCTGGGTGGTTATGGAGGTGAGAAGGTGGTTGAAAATAATGGAGGGGAGGGGCTGTCGTGTGGAGAACAACAGGAGGAGAAGAATCATATTTTAAAAATCTTATCTTGCAAACTTACCAAACTGCCCCTCAACTTAATTTGCTCGTAATTCCTTCGTTAAACCTCCGATTCAAGCCCACTACGTGTCAACGGACTCGTTGCGTCGCGCTCTACGCAACGGTACAAGCGGAATTCCCAAATTCTTCCCCGGTCAAAAAAATCAACTTAAAACATAATAAAATATTCTAAGGGTATAATTGTCTTCTCCCCTATTAAATTATTAATTAAATATTAATTAAGGTCTGGGTTGTTACATATAGGGTGGGAGGCCTGGCTGCCGTAATCAGCCGTTGTTTGCCTTTTGGCATGGCGAAAACAGCGGTGGAGCTCCCAAGAGATCATGGTTGCAGCCACAGCACAATAGAACAAACCCTCCTATCATACTGATACCATAACAACAACCAGGACTAGTATATTATATAATAAGTCTACACACTCCAACATAAAATCAGTCTGAAATAAAACAGCATGCCTTCCTTTAAATTGCCTAAATTAAAGATTGAAATTAAATCAAATCAAAGTGCATGAAATACATGTCATAGGACAGGACCCATTAATTGAAGCGTTGCTGAACAAGAGGACGGTTTAACAACACCTCTTCCTGCAGCAGCGTCCTTCAAAAACTTTGTCTTGATTTTGTTGAGTGTGGCTACAGCTTCTTTCATATTTATCCTATCTTCTAGTGATTCTGCACAGCAAGTAAGAGCTAATCTCATAATGGCTGAAATGCAATCCCTTTTCCTCACATGATCATCATCTTCCTGCTCTGTCCCAATCCCCTCTTGTTGAAACTATTCCTTCCATTCCATACTCTGCAATATGAATTATATTTGAGTTGTAATTATATATATATATATATTATATTCATATCATATGTATGATGAAAAGACCATTTTAAGTTATGTTGTTCGTAATTGAAAGATATTAAATTAGCAAGTACATACCTGGAGCCATATACCCAACTGTGGCTAGGGTCATGGTTTGGGTAATAGAATCTCCTCCACCTAAGAGTTTTGCAATTCCAAAATCAGCAACATATGCAACCATATCATCATCCAGTAGTATATTGCTTGGCTTCATATCACAGTGCACAATAGGTATTGAATAACCATGGTGTAGGTATTCCAGTGCAGATGCAGCATCTATCATTATGTTCAACCTCTGTAAGATATTCAATGAATTTTGAGAGTACAACCACTTCTCGAGGCTCCCATTAGGCATGTATTCGAGTACCAAGGCTTTGAAATCAAGTTCACTGCAACAGCTGACGATTTTGATAAGGTTTCTATGACGAATATTGCTTAGCATTTCACATTCCCTATCAAAACTCTTGAAAGCCCCTTCTAGCTGTAAATTGAAAACCTTTACTGCAACATCTATTCCATCTGAAAGTGTCCCTTTATATACTGAAGCAAAACCCCCACTTCCAAGTAGGTTGTTTTCATTAAATCCATTTGTGCTCCTTAGAAGTTCTAGATGTGAAACTCTTCTCCAAAGAAGTTGAGGCAATGAGGTAGCCTCTCCTACAACATCCACATTCCTTTTCCTACATAGTACAAAGATAGATACAGAGGCCACAAAGAGAATTACTGATATGATCCCTGGGATGATATATTTAGCTTTCCTCCAATTTGGTTCAATTGTACCATTTTTGCATGGTGGAACCTGAAGTCGGGCTGCACCACAGAGTGCTTTGTTTGTGACAAATGATTGAGCGGAGAAGTTTTGGAACGGTCCACCCGTTGGAATTTCTCCTTGGAGCCTGTTGAAAGACACATCCATATACTTGAGAAATGACAGAGCCTCTAAAGACTTGGGAATCACTCCAGACAGATTGTTTCTGGACAAATCCAAGAGTTGCAGGCTTAGCAACCTGTCAAATGAACTTGGAATAGGGCCTTCCAAATTATTATTTGCTAGGGATAGATTAACCAAATCCTGAAGACCCCCAATAGTGCTTGGTAGGATACCAGATAAATTGTTATTTGATAAATCTATCTGTGTTACAACTTTCAAGTTTCCAATATCTTGTGAGAGATGTCCAATTAGATAATTGGATGACAAGTCTACATACAAGATATAGGCAAGTCTCCAAAAAGTAGATGGTATTGTGGAACTCAACGAATTGGACCCCAATGATAGATATCTTAGAAATGCGGTTAGATTTCCCAAGCAAGAAGGTATAGAACCCGAGAGCTGATTACTACTCAAAATTAAGTAAGCTAGGTTATCTAATTGACAAAGTTGATATGGGATGTACCCTCGCAACTTGTTATCATTCAAGAACAAACCTTGGAGATTCCCTAGTCTTCTCAATGAAGTTGGAATTGATCCACTCAATTGATTGTTTCTCAGAGTTAAGACTATCAAGCTGCTCAAGTTTCCAATACCAATGGGAATGTTACCCCTCATGTTGCAATTGTATAAATAAATATATTGAAGCGACGATGTAGAGCAATTCCGAAAGGAATCATCAAGTCTGGCATTTAATGGATTTTCTGGCAAGGATAATCTTGTCAAACTTCTAAGATTAGCCAAACAAGAGAGAGTGTTTGCTTCTGGAGTCGAAGTATCAATCGTCAAATTATTATTCTTTAACCTAAGCGACTGAAGGTTTGTTAAGGCACATAGCGTGCTTGGAAGAAACCCTGTGAATGAGTTTTCGTTCATATCTATCGTGATGAGCGTAGAAGCATTGGAGAGGTTGGGGATTACTCCGCTGAGGTCATTTGCTCCTATATAAAGGTATTGTAGGTTTTGAAGCCCAAGGCCCATGTTTGCTGAGAGGCTACCCGATAGCTGATTAAAAGAAAGCGATATTTCGCTTATCGTGGAGATATTGAAGATTGAGGATGGGATGAGGCCATTGAGATTGTTACCTTGCAATGACAACATCTCTAAATTTGGAAGATCACCGATCTCGTCTGGTATAGTGCCTGCCACAATTTCACAAACGTTATAGCATTAGCATTAGTTGAAAAGAATATTGACTTGGATAAAAATGGCAATTCAATCTATTTTATTCTATCGTGGCCATTCAGATTATTACCACCAACTGCAAAAGACTCTAAATTTTAAAGATCACCCATCTCATTTGTTATAGTTCCTGCCACAATGTCACAACCGTTGCATGTTTAACTTTGTATGAATTTATGTAATCTAATATAACGCTATCTAAAATGTCACAACCGTTCATGACCTTTAGTATAAAATGTCACACTCATAATATTAATTAATACAACAATATTTACACGGAAATCTCTAAAAAGTTTTGTGTTTGAAACAAATTAAGAAATCGGGCCATAATTTGTGGATGAAAATATATGGTTTACAAAATGTCATATTCCCTTGAGCAAAACACGTTTTTGTTTGCATGTCTTTATACCTCTTCTTCTTCTTTTTCTTCTTACTTTGGTTAACCTTAGATTTTAACATATTGACTTAGATAGAACGTTTATTAGGCAAGTCAATATGTTATATTCATGATTGTAAACCTTGCTATTCGATTCTAATGAATTTTCCAGCGATTTTGACAAAAAAAATGGTTATAGTCATGATTAACTATCTCCCTCATTTACTAAAATATGAAATAATTAAATAACGATAAATTATGCAACCAAAATAAAAAAGATAAATCATAATTGGATCAACATAATGAAATATCAATTACCTGTCAAATTGTTGATATCAAGGAATATCATCTTCATCATTGTTAAGTTCCCAATATTTTTTGGTATGCTTCCACTGAAATTGTTTTCCTCCAAATTAAGTTCAAGAAGCTCCTTGCATTGCCATAATTTGGATGGAAGTGGACCATCAAAATGGTTGAGAGCCAAACTCAAGATTTGAAGACTAGGAAGATGTTGGCATATATTGTCTGGAAGACCACCACTCAAGCTGTTGTCATATAGAGTCAACACAGTCAAAGAAGACATGTTGAAAACAACCACAGGAACAGGGCCTTTTAGGGCATTAAGCTGCACATACAATTTCTCCAGCTGATGTAAAAAGCCGATCTCTTTTGGAATTTCTGAAAAATCATTAAGATATATGCACATTTATATGTTAAACTCATGTTTTATGTACATATAATGCATTGCAACAAAAGCCGAGTCATATATAACTGTATCACATCAAGGCAATGCAACAAATACATATACCATTGAAATTGTTGGAGTCAAGGTATATCTTCTTCAAAATTGTTAAGTTCCCTATTTCTCTGGGTATCGCACCTGTTAAGTATGCCAAACAAAGACTCAGAATACATGTAAATAAATGAAATTAGAAAAAACGCCACACTACATAATTTATAGAAAAGCTATCATAGTGGCTATTTTGGAGGGAAAAAAAACTCTCAACTAGTCACTTGGTCACTTTCTAATTGGTTTATTAGCATGTTACAATTTTTTCTCTTGAAGGTACAATATGAAATTTTTCTAAAGTATTAGATTTGAAGGGTGTTTTTTATATTTATAAAATATCATGTTATGATGGGCCTGTTGAGAATTAATGACTAACTCACTGCCCTTTTAAGATCTTGTTGTTGATGGACTTTGGACAAAGAACTCAATGATGGATGAGTCTTACACACACACACAGAAATTAACCAAGCACAAATGACACAAGTGTTTATAGAGGTTCAGCAAATTGCCTACATCCTCTTTGGTGATCACCTTGAGAAATTTCACTAATGAAGATAGGTTACAACTTTGGTTTACAAAGGAAACCCCCTTAGAACACTACCCTCACAATCTGTTTCTCTCACACCCTTGCTCAACACCTTGATACACTTAGAGAACTCTCTTGCTCTCACCTTGGTTTTTTTCTGAACACACAACTAAAACTTCAGCTCTAACTCAACTTGGAATACCAGCTTCTTCCACTTACAATTATTCAACTTGTTTTCTCCTCTTGTGTTATCTTACTTCACCCCATTTCCTACACAAGC